TAAACAAAACGGAAAGATGGTAACTATATTCACACACAAAGGCTGGTAGCTATATTCACACACAAAGACTGGTAACTATATTCACACACAAAGGCTGGTAACTATATTCACACACAAAGGCTAGTAACTAATTATCAGACAACTTGTGATTTTGGGATTTTCTACATAGATAATGACAAATAAAAAGTAGGTCAGATCCACTTATTAAAGTTGTTATTATTATTTAGTTAGTTAATATGTCATTTGTAAATATAGTCATGTTCATTATTTTTGTCAATAAATGTAATTTCTTTCCAATATAATATATTTTAATGTTTTTCATTATTATACGTTCACTATCATTTTCTTGATTTTAACTTTTTCTTTTTCTCCCAAAATTTATAAGTTGTGTTTCTGTCACTTTTATAATTTTTGGTGAAATAGATATTTAAAAGCAATTATTTTGGTATTAAAATATGTGGAACGGAAATTAAAAGGAACATTTTAGAGACTACAATATTAGGCGACTTTCTGATATTAACTTATATAACAAGACCTATACAGAAATAAAGTTAAATTAAATATATTATAAAATACACTAAATCTATTTCTACTTCAACGAAAGGTCTTAGAGCCACTGATTAAACTCGTAAGATCAACTTACCAATATGGGTTGACGATATGATGTAATTAAACTTCTGAATGGGTCCTGGATATCTTGATCACAACTCTGCAAACTGAGTCTCTTATATATCTATCTAGTTTACACGCCTAAGAAATTAGATGGCCTAAGATTGGTGGACGTGATGTAAATTGATGTGCGCATGCTTGGAAGTGCCAACTGCACCAATTCCCTGGCAGAAACATCAGTCCATGGGTTCCACTGGCGGAAGAACTGGAGAGAAAACGTTGGTTTTTAGCTTAAATAAAAGGTTAGCGTATAATATGGTTTCACAAAGCAGAAACTAATATATAAAATACATTTTTCATATACACTGGTAAGTCATTCCAAAATTTTGGACACGTTTTCTTATTTTTTTTAAGATGCAAGCTAAAAGTTAATTATCAAGTTTTACACCTGCTCCGTGTTTTAAGAATCATTTAAATATTATAATTAACTATGTTGTTGTCATTATATAACGTTTGGTTGTTGATAATATTAAATTATATTTAAGACCTATAATGACGAGTTGAAGTTATAAGCTAGTGTATATTAAAACGTTTTATGAAGCTCACCATAAATTTGTCAAGATATTACATTTCAGAAAATATCTACGAATATTATGATATGTGATATACAGACATACCTATCTTTCTGTGACCGGAAGTTGCCTAGTGGTTAGCGACTGTGATCTCGTTGATAGGTCCCGACCTGTTGCTGAAAAATCGCAAAATATATCTTGTTAAGATTCTTTTATAAATTTGTTGAGGGCATAATACTTCTATTTCGGTTATTTATGATAATCTCGTTATTGCTATTGTTGCCCAATCAGACATTATATCTCATCTACAAGATTACTGTTATGAATTATTTTAATACAATATTCCTTTTATGACCATTGTTGTGACCAAATTAATAACATTTTTACTTAGTGGTACGGGTGTGGCCTAGTGATTAATGGATATGAGGTCTATGTTCTCGTTCTGTTGCCGTGAAAAATGTTAAAAAATCATATTCTGCTATTTAAGGCTCTGGTTGCTTTATAAGAATGAGAGTCAAACTTTTCTATTCGATTAAAGTAGCTAAAGAGTAGACGGAGGGTATTGTTGATTAGCAATATTCACTTCAGTCTATCAGTTCAAAATTAATGACGACTAGCGCAGATAGTTCTTGTTTACCTTTGCGATAATATCCGAAGTACAAACTACTTATATATATATAAACTCCACTATATGTTCTTTGTATTGAAACCTAGAATGGTTGAAATATTACTAGTTGGCTCCCCAGTGGCATAGCGGTAAGTCTGCGGATTTACAACACCAAAAATCGGGTTTCGATACCCGTGGGCATGTATTTTAAACGTGATCACCATGATGATATTTCCGTCCTCAGGTTTATAACTTGTAAAAGCGTTTGGATACTACGTAATATCTCATTTTGGATTATGATGTCACAGATTACATGGTGCTAATAACCAATCAAGTTCTTTAAGATGACTGTAACTTTCCAAATGCATAACCTTCTACTTCTTTAAACATACTCGCTATTTTGATCATCAGGTCCTCTATTGACTGGGTTATTCTTTTTATAAAATTAGAGCATCTTGGAATAAAATCTATAATTTGATAGAAACTGTTCACCTAGAGGATTTTTGTAATTTTAAAAGAAACATAGGTCGTAATATGGGTCACAACAAAGTGTATATTTTGTTTTTATATTACATTATTGGTCGTCAGAAAATAATGTTAGATGCGTTTAGGATAAATTGAAATTTGTATTTCTTTAGGTTGATTAAATAGTCAAACAGTCAAACTAATGTTATATTGTGGGCTATATTTCACTTTCAAGAAAGTATAGTTGATTATTTACTGCGAGTCTCAAACCTAAAACATCGTACAGGTAAGACAGCTAAAGTACAGTCATTACTAAAATACAAAACTTTTGTTTAAGATAAAAAACACATTTGATTTTTTCGTATTTTCTCTATGGTTATCTTATTGGAAACATCTATGTAATATCTATCATTTTGAGTCCATGAAAGAGCACTTATTTCGCAATATACCTTGATATATATATAACTTCATCGTTATTTTCAACAGTTGTCAGTTTTTGTTTGCAAATTTAGAATATTTTACAGTTTCATGAAAAAGTGATTATTAAAGTTGAGTTTGGGTGCAATTACACAGGCAGAGAAAACGGTAGTGTTGACTGGTATTGTATATCTCATGATGTTTTAAAGAGTAATGAATAATGAAAATCCCCACTGATATTCTGAGAGAAACTATGAGTAAGTATGAACTACTACAAATTCCTAAACGTAAATCTGGATATTTAAAGTTCACGATCAAAAAATATTACTTAGATTTAAGATAACACATTTTAAAATGAAAACAAAACGTTTTTATTAACTCTGAAATATTCCTTTAGCTCTTACAACACTAGAATTTGCGGTTTGATCACCGTGATTAATGCTATAATGCATATTTGAAATAGTGTTTTAAAGAATGAGGTCGAGTCAATAGGGATCATGTGGGATAAACTTGGAACATAATTTTATAGTTTGATCCATTTAGGACATTAAACATAACAAATTCAAATTATAAAATGACCTGCCACTACTATATCATAAAATGATTTCAACCAAGATGATGTTGAACTAAAACAGATCATAACGAGGTAGTTAATGAGTAATTGATATATTTTGTATTAAATTACGCCATACCATGACACAGAGGTAAAATAATATATTTAAATGAATTAACTTCATCAAACTAAAAAATCCTAAGAAGGTAAAGTTATGTTAAAATAGACTACAATTCGAGACGAAAAAATTATTTTTCATTTAAACAGCCTGAATAACGATTGTGATATACGTTTATTTATTCTTAAAATTAATCCTAAGAACTAAGATGATGTTGAACTAAAACATATCATAAGAGGATAATTAAAGAGGTAAACTAATATTTTCAAATAAATGAACTTTATCTAACTAAAAAACCTAAGGTAATGTTATGTTAATATAATTGGAGACGAAAAAAAAAGTGTTCATCCAAACAGCCTGATATACGTGATTGTGATATATGTTTATTTATTCTTAACATTAATCCTAAGAAAGATATGGTGTTGAAAATAAAGTCATTTAAGAATTCCTAACAAATAGAGTTTTTCTTGCGATTCCTAACTCTTTACTTGTTTATTAAGTTAAAAACCAGACAGTAATATGAAACAGTAAGTAAAGAATTAAAAACCAGACAGTAATATGAAACAGTAGGTAGAGAATTAAAAACCAGACAGTAATATGAAACAGTAAGTAAAGAATTAAAAACCAGACAGTAATATGAAACAGTAGGTAAAGAATTAAAAACCAGACAGTAATATGAAACAGTAAGTAAAGAAATATAGAATAGCCTTCGAGGTTTCTCTACCATGATCTCTTTCACTTCGAGATAATTTTCAAATCTCTTTTGGAAGATAATTTGTAATGTTCCAAAATAATTCCAATGGTACTATAGTGGTCTAGTGTCATTCCTTTCCTTGATGTGTATTCAGTAATTAAACACGTTTCTCAATATAAACTTCGTAGTTTCAATATGTAGTAGCTAATGTATTAAACGTTTTTTGTTTCAATAATGAACATGAGGCCAATTCTATTATTCAATGAACCACTTATCACTAGTCAGTTTTATCGGTTTCGGGGAAATCACCCTTCTTTGTAGTTGGCTTCTTATAGTGACGAATTATGTATTATCTATTATCTATGGTGTTACTTACTTACCACAGTGAACCTATTTACTGTATTAGTACCTTTGGCTTTACTTTAATGTAATGTTATAAATTAGTTTAGTATATAAAACCTTACACATGTCATTGGGCGAATTTTAGTAGTTGTAAAAATTAAAGATAGGGGTATCTCTGTAAAGCAAATTATTCGAAAAAGAGCGAGACATTTTGTGTTGCTTGAAAGAAAAGAGAACGTTTGGAACTAATACTAGGCACTCACATAAAGTTCGTTTTTCTTTCTGGGTTTTATTCTTAATGTTATAAAAATAGAACACAATTTTAAAACGTTTTATTGAAATTAGAACTGATTTTGCTTTCATTTATATGGATTACTTCCATGGGACTAATAAACAACCGTTCAACCTGACAACCAGAGTGAATGAGAGTTAGATGCTAACACGCTCTCCTTCCTTTCTTTAACGGAAACTCACCTTCGTTTATAATAAGGGAATAAACTAGATTAAAAATTGTTCGGAAAATAAAACAAAATATTCTACAAATAATTTAAGATATAAACAGTTTTTATACCCGTAGTGGTATTTGTTCGTGATAAATAACATAGTATGACATACGATGCTGCTACTAATGCACTTTATTTCATATAACAATCAAATACATGTTTATTTGTGATAAAGGTTTATCTAATATTATAATTTAGTTTCCTGGTAAGTACGATAACTTGGGAAGGTTTCAGTTTTCTTTTCTTATGTCATCGAAATTGTAAAAATCATCACACTCAGCAAGTCTGGTTACTCCATCCTGTGTTAGGGAAAACAATGGAAAATAATAAATAAAGTTAAAAATTGGAGATATAAATTTGAAACATTATTTTTTAAACGAAACTATGAAATACAGTCAGACTTTTCAAACATAAGCGTCTTAAAAACCAGACAGTAATATGAAACAGTAAGTAAAGAATTAAAAACCAGACAGTAATATGAAACAGTAAGTAAAGAATTAAAAACCAGACAGTAATATGAAACAGTAAGTAAAGAATTAAAAACCAGACAGTAATATGAAACAGTAAGTAAAGAATTAAAAACCAGACAGTAATATGAAACAGTAGGTAAAGAATTAAAAACCAGACAGTAATATGAAACAGTAAGTAAAGAAGTTATGGGAAAAGACGGTAGTGAGGGAATATTGTGATCAAATTTAAACAATATTAACAACAGATATTATTATTATTCACATGTTCAACAAGGTCGACGTAAAAGCTCTGAAACGTGAATTCTGTGTTCAAGTCAAGATAATAAAATTCATTGTCTATCTGATAGTTATAAAAGTCATTTCAGCGACCGTGATGAGTGAAATTATGAATTTGTCGTGAAATACGCCATAGTTGGTTTCATCATTAAGAAATGTATTAGAATAAATCACTTAAACCGCTCTATTAAAGCAAAATGTGTTGAAAATACATTAAAATAATTGATCTATGAGGGTTATGTTTTGTTAAATATATATATATATAAATTGACCATATGTTTGTCTGGCTCTGTATCACACCATGTATTTCCTCAATGGTTAATCACAGAAAAATCATTCATTTTTTTGCAATTTTAAAACTTTTATGTCGACATCAACATCGATCAGTCAATCTTCGTATGTACCAATGATCAATCTGAGAAAAATGTTTCTTTTTGTGATGGAGATCCGCGAACAAAATGGGAGTTTCTCCGTCAATTGGTTGAAAGAAATATTTCGAAGATAGGATCATGAACAGACATAACTCATAAATAGAGGACCGTATTTGAGTATATATTTAGTGTTGTCTGAGTTATATATATATGTATATATTTTTTCATGTCGGTATTACATACGTGCATATTGTACCATTTCAAATATATTGAATTAAATTACATTAAATACCCCCTCGACACTTCTTATGTCAAAAAGCTCTTACTACACTAGAGTTCTTTTGTTGCGCTCACTAAAATTAGTATATATTTATTGTTGTTTGAGTTATATATATGTATGTATATATTTTTTCATGTCGGTATTATATACCGCATATTGTACCATTTCAACTATATTGAATTGAATTACATTAAATACCCCTCCCTGACACTTCTTATGTCAAAAAGCTCTTACTACACTAGAGTTCTTTTTTTGCGCTCACTAAAATGAGTATATATTTATTGTTATTTGATTTATATGTATATTTGTATATATGTATATTTGTATATTTGTATATATGTATATTTGTATATTTGTATATTTGTATATTTGTATATTTGCATATTTGTATATTTGTATATATGTATATTTGTATATATGTATATTTCTTCATGTTGTTAATATATACATGCATGATTATATTGCACCATATCAAATAAATTCATTTGAGTTGCATTGAATATCTCTTCTTTGACACTTCTTATCGAAATGACAACTGTCAAAAAGCTCTTGCTACACTAGAGGTCTTTTCTTGCGCTCAGTGAAATGATAATGACTAGTGCCACCCAACGGAAAAAAATCCACATGGCTACTTAGCGAATCTGGGCACTCTATTGTGGTGGGTGCACCCATTATGTCGAAACCCAAACATTTTTTTGTCAACAATACATTACAATCAATCTTATTTGATTAAAAGTAAACGCAATGTAATTTCCTTATTGAAATAATGCATGAAATGACAAAAGACGGTTGAAGATGGTCCACAAGACGATCATATTTCACATATACTCTGATCCAAGGGATTGGGTTGACAGCGCATTTTATATTTATTCATTACTATTTTTAGAAAAGTTACCATTGAATTGTTTCAACGGACATCTACAAATAAAACTATAATTTGAGTCGAATAAAATAGTTTTCTGACCAGCTAGCGTTAATTCCAACTGTTATGCTACAATGTAAGTTCTAACAATTGCATATTTTGGTAAGGTTTTTTACAAGGACTTATTCTTTACACTCAGGTTTTATTAGGAATTCTACTAACTAAGCCTTTCGATGGGATTTCTAACAAAGGGATCATATCGGGGTTATATCAAAATGTAACTTACAAAGCAGATGGTCTGTGTTAACTTTTAAAAGTCTTGTTTCATGAGAATTTCCGGTTGTAAATGGCACACTAGACAATGATATGGATTATATGACTACATATGATGTGACCTACAATTACTTGTTGCAATTGTTGTAAACTGTTGTAAAGAGCTACAGATAATTTACTTTTATTACTACTGACATTAAAGAATACCAACATCTTATTGGTGGTCTAGCGCAGTAATATCTTTGCATCCTTAGCTTAAAAACGAAGATCATTGTTGCAACATGATTTTAATTCCAGGTAAAAACGAAAACACATTTGCGAGAACTTTTGTGCTATTAATAACTTAGTTACTTTGTGATGGCTTTAGATACTGAATAATATATCATATTCCAGGAAGTCTTAAGAGGACTAGTATTGGGCGAAATACCTTGTACGAACAGGACGTAGGAAATATGGTGTGGTTGACTTATTATTGTATATTATTATTTACTTTCACCCATAATATCTTATTAATAATTAGTATTTTAGTCTTCTTCCGTTAGCAGTGTGATGGTTTGACCCTCCTAACCCAAGAAGACTACTTCGCTCTGAAGGATACTAAGTTATTATATTAAATAAAATGGTATTTCTTTAAATCAGATGTTATTTATTTGACCATTCAGTTATAACTTATTCATTGAAAAGTTTCGCCTACTTATTGAACATAAGACTATTTCATATAAATATATTCCTAATATAATATCTACAGATAATATTTCGATCCTTAACTGCATCTGATGATGGTTAAGAGATATGAATAATCAAAAAGTTGAGTGGAGTTTTGAGAAATCCAAGGTTGTATACTGCGGTATTCTTATCTTAGAAATTCCATTGTTGCCAAGTCAGATATTACACTCGTCATTAAGATTACTA